GGTCCAGAGTAACGAGCTTTCAGCATCCCCCCTCAGCATGGCGATCACCAGCAGCATCCTTTGAATTTTGACCCAAGAGGCAGCAATGGAACAGGAGGAAACATTCAAAGGCCAAAGACAGTAATGGTGGCACTGGTAATAAGCTGATATGGTTGCAAAATTAGCAATTTCTTTGCTAGTTTGTAAGCTGTGATTTGTAAATATACCCAGGCAGGTTTCATCTGGACAGTAAGTCAAATCCCTTTGAAGATTTATTTTTAAGAGCAAAATGACCAGTAAGTATGTATGGCTAGCAAACAGGAGAGAAAAAAAAAAGTTTCAAATGTTCCAAAAATTGTCTAAGGAAAGGGGACAAGAGGAGGTAGGTAGTTAGAAATGGTCCAGGAAAGACTTCTTTTCTAAGTGCCATGCCATGGTTGGTGATTCTTTTTCTACGTTACTTACGCTTTCAGGTGCCTAGCAGATGGAAGGAGAGAATGCCAGCTAGATTATTACCACATCTAAATGAAAAGTCTCTTCCTACAGTCTTCATGCAGCTGCAGAAACAAAGGCTGGTCCAGAAGTAAACTTCAGTGCGTTTTTAACCAATCCAGGGCATTTTAGAAACTGCCACTGAACTGACAACCATGAAATAAGAGAAGAACAATTTATATACAAATCAAAGAGAGGCATTGATAGTCCCATGCTGTGCATCTGTACTTCAGTGTATTTTGGTGCAGTGCTCAATACCAGCTCCATTTGGTTAATCTGCTCATCCATTTTAGGGACTGGGTGATGCAGACCCTCCCTCTGAGCGAGAGCAGCACTGCATATCCTCCCCTTCACAGACAATGCAGCACAGTACAGAAAAGCAAGGCTATCAGTCAGGCCGCCTTTTATTCTGGTAACCTTGGAACATGGTGGTGCAAACCACAGCTAACTGCTTAGAGCAAAAGCACTGGGTCTGGTGTCTGGGTATTTTTTTTTTTTTTAACTGCTTTCCTATTGAAACCCCTGACCACCACATCCTGCCCCAGGCAGTGTTCTCACCCCCAGAGGCTGCTGCCTGTACCTTGAACCCTTCATGCCTGTTTAAAGATTAGTCATCAGAAGTGTCAGTGTCTTCACCTTCTCTCCCCTCCGCCTAGAAAGGGGAAGAAGGGCAGCTTCTTGCACAATGCTATATTAACTAGAAAAAAAACCAAAAAAGCACACAAATTTATCTGCATTTTTCTTGCACACACAAAAAAGCTTGTTTTTATAGCCTAGCCAGTAAAGGGCTCAAAGTTGTCTTTCAGAGATGTGTCAAATTGTATTGCAGCTTTTGATGAGTTAGAATACTAACCTATGTGCCTTTTCGCATCATCCACATCCCTGGATGCTTGTAAACATGAATAATCAAGTATCTCAGCACTCTTTATAAAAATAACTAAGACCTAGAATTAAGTTCATGCAGCATTGCATTGGTTAAACACTGAGTAAAGGAACTTAACTTCTATTAGAAATGCTGCAGTATTTAGAGAGAGAATTCCTAGAATAAGGCTGACATCCTTCACCGTTACTGAAACAAACTTTATTTAATTCAAGCTTTCTGCTAGACTCAGAATGAGAAGCCATCAAATGTGATTCTAGCATATTCCAGGAACCAGATGCCCATTTGGAATTAGAACAATATCATCAGTATTAAGCACTTGCACGCCACTGCAGCAGTAAAAAGGAAAGTGCTGTCTCAGTCTAATTCCAGCTTCTTGATAAAATACTCAATTTAATACAGTAAAATTCAAGGATGATTTTCAAATGAATGCTACACCTACAGAAGACTACCTTCAAAGAACAGCAGTAAGACAAGACTGGTACTATAGGGATAAACAACTGTGCACAGGCTTTCGGTGCTGCATTGTAAGAAAAACTTAATTCAGTCCTTGACTGTGTGCAGTAAATAGATGATAGTATGGAAGGCACAGCAATTTTAGGCACATCGGGAAGTTCCAGGTTTCCCCCATTTCCATGCAGCCGATCCAGAAACACTACTAAAGTTTTTGCAATTTCCTATAATATGGGACTGAGTTATGTCAGTACTACCTAGTTTCATTCACTACCCACAAAAGCATCAAGGTTGTGACATGAAACTACTGAGATTACTTCACTTAGAGCTGGTTAACATTTTAGTCAGTCTGCAACTCCAGAACTGCACACCCTCCGTTTCCTTGTTCAAGCATACTGACAGTTCCTCTCTAGCAAATATCCTCCTCTTTCTCATGCAGTCAGGAAAGAAATAAGGCTCAGAGCAATACCTCTTTCATGAAGGTCAAAGATCTTAATGTGAAAAGATGCTACAGTCTAAGGGTTATCAACAGCCTCCTTGGAACCACAGCCTGCAGTCCCTCTTCCACCTTATAGGCCAACATCCAGCATTATAAGCTTTGCAAATGGAAAGAGGAGCATTAAGCCTCACAGGTTGTTGCAAGTGGAACACTTTGTAAAGTTAACACCACATTCAGGAGAGCTAACTTAACTCTTCTAACCTTTCATCCTCCCTCTTCCCCTACGATGCTTCTCAATTCCTTTGAAAACAGCTCTTATCTCTAGAAAGTCAGCAGACTGTTCCCTCTGGGATTGCTCACATTAAAGAAAGTTTGCAAGTAAAATTCCATTCAACAGATTTTATTTATCAATTTGGTTTTACGATTACAACTGTTTCAGTTTTCTTCCATTGAAGACAAAATACAAACTTTTACAGCAACACTTGCAGAGAACATTCATAAGATAACAGCTTGACATTTGCACAAGTTGGCTTCAAGAAAAAGCCAGGTAACTTGAAGAGTCACTACAGTTCAGTGCCTAAAATTTACTCAGGGGCAAATACAACTACAGATCTACGAGCTACCTTCCACTTCAAAACACAAGGCCAAGAAAAACTGCAAGTCGTCACTTCAGGTTTTTTGCTAGTACACAGCACAGGTCAGCTGATACTGCCATTTCACAACCGAGTAATTACTTTCTATAGTGAGGCAGCCAAGCAGTGGTGAAGATGTATAACCCAGCCTCCCCGCCCCCCAAACAACTGAAAGGGAAACAACCCGAGCCACATCTCTCAACTGTGGATTATACCTTGTTGGCAAGGCTCACGAGCAAGCGGTGCATAGTGCAGGCCTTCCAGAACATCACTAAATTGATATAGTACAAGCTTGAGTTTTTCAGTGGCGTCTGTACATGTCAGAGATCCTGGGTTTCCTAGTCTTGGAAAATAGCAAGTGCTGGCACCAAGAAAAATTTAGTAACTAAGGCAAGGTATTCCTTCTATCCTTTTAAACAAAATTTGAGGCAAAAGATTAAGCAACTTTAAGGCACTTTAAAAACTATTTTTAGTTTGCTTTACCAGCATACTTTATCAGCAACCTAAATTAGGATCAGCATAGCTCATGAATAAGCACTTTAGCAATATTTTACAGAGCAACAACTGTTTTGTGGCAATGCCTTCCATGCTATGAAGTGTTCTGTAGCATTTTTCTGCAAGTTTCCCGAAACATAGCCCTTTGAGGCCAAAAAAATTATATACTAGGCATACAGTTTGCTTTGCTGAGCTGACGGAGAACTCTGTCATGCTTCAGAAGAGCGTTTCGCTCACTTCAAAGCACAGAATACAAGCTCATGGATATATTTTTAAAGAAATAAATGCAATAAAATAATTCTGAGATAGGGAAAGGACAGATTAAGTGATTTCACAATAAGGCCAAGGGTATACCATCTAACCCACACACATACTGTTGCTGGAAACCGGCTGCTTACTCTGCTGTTTTACTAAACCTGAGCTGATTGTCTTCGTTTTGTTGAGAAAACCAAAAGCTAATGAACTCAAAGGTACAGTACCGGTGAGTAACTCGTGTATTTTGTAGCAATTTGAGTTTTCTATGCAGCACAATAGAAACAATGCCATTCAAACTAGAAGAACACAAGAAAGCAACACTGTGCACTTTAAGCTTCCAACTGAAGTGCACTTAATTTGCTCCATAATTAAGTCCACTGCCATGACTATTATCCGCATTAATGCTATCTCTTTGTATCGGGTGCCAAATTCCAGTCAAGTCAGAGCTAGTAAGACAGTACTACAGATTATCCTGAAATTGATGATCAAGGGCTATCATCAAAAGCTATGTATTATATGCTACATCCACCACTTAATTTTATCTTTACTTCCATTTCTCCTGGGGGTTTACTTCACAGATGCTCAAGTCAATCTATACTGGAGATGACATACCTTTGATACTTAGATCACATGACTGATCCAGCCAAGGGAAAAAAAAAACCCAATCCAAACCAACAACGTGGCCAAATAGATTTCCTTAAGCAGTTCACTGCAGGATGACACAAACCTGATGCCAGGAAGGAAGGAGCTATCCTGACTAGGATCAAATCAGCAGATCCTCTGAACTACACTTAATTGCTCCATCAGCAAGCAGACATACAGGAGGGTAAGACAAAAAAAACCCAAACCCTGAAATTAATTGCAATGATTTGAATAAGAAAAACCTCAGGATTTCCCAAACACCAGTATTTCAAGTATAAATGTAAGTTTTTGCCTTTTTATACAGGGAATGAACCAAGTTTTATCAACAGTTTTATGGTTGGTCTTTGTAGGCCAGAACAAAAGATAAACAACTTAAAGCTGCTGGTTGTAGCTGAACACTACTGTATCATGCTCCCTCACCCTCTGACAAGGTCACTAAGGGACAATTACAAAACTGAAATGCTCCAGCCACGCGTATTCCATTCTCCTATACAAAGCTAGTACTTAATACTTTTACTTATCTTTGAAATAGGTGGGATGCTTTTGCAGCCTACTGATTTTTAGTCTTTAAGGCACTAATCTTCACTTCCCATTTAGAAGTATTATCCCTATGTCCCCTCTCCACCCTCAACATTAATTGGAAAGGGCATAGGATTTCTGTTTGGGATGCAGTATTTTATCAGGCAACCTTCACTCTTGTGTAAAAAAATTTATGGGTTATGTTATTCTGTGAAGACACTATCTACTTCCCACAATTTTGTTAATCTTTCTCGCAGCACGCTGTAAGAGCTACAAGCTAGTATAAATGGTATTTCACTCCCTGAAGTCAGTCACCAATGATTCACATCTTGATAAAACTGAAGGGATACGGCATCAAATGTTGATTAAATTAGCCTTCACAATAGGTCATCATGAGATTGTCTACTCAAGACAGTGTTGCCACTGAATAAGAATCTCTGAACGTCTACATTTGGCATATCAAAAAAATAGTCCCGCAGCAGCAGCCACTAAAGGAAAATAAGACAGCCATTAGAACCCATGCAGCATATCGCAAGTAATCCTGTTGAAGAGATTCGTATCACCTCTTGCCAAGTATACTGTTGCAAAAATATTCTTTTAAAGTCTTAGAGATTTAAAGGATATTATGAACTGCTGTCTTCCATGAACAACAGAAAATATTCTGTGAACTACAGGTGTTGGGCTACTAGTCCATTATAAAGTGGCAGGTCCTAAAGTGTGTGATAGTTTCGGTCTTTCGACTTGCAGAATTTGTACAGAAAGAAAATAACAGCCTGCAGACCCAGAACAAGGACAATTCCACCTATGAAACTTGCAGCATCAAATGTAGATTTGCGTGGAGAAGGTGCAGGAGTCACAGTAGCATTCGTACCTGTTAAACACCACATTAGAGTTTGTGAGGGCACAACATTCACAATAGTTTTACAGATTTTAGTATTGGCTTCCTTGTATTAAGAGTGCTCAAAACATTCAAACACCAATAGGAAAACAAAAAATAATCAAAAGTAAAAACATGTCAGCAGCTGCATTTAGATTAATGATACTGAAATTCTGATTAAATACTGTTTGCAGAAGGTCAGAGCTATCTATAGCCAAATCACCCTCTTTTACATAGAGGTATATTGTTGATATGCTCACATTCAGAACACATTTTCCAATCTCTGCTGCTTGTTCTAGCTTTTTGCTTAAATTCAAATTAAATTATTATCTTCCATCTACTGCACCCCAAGAGTTACACTTAAAGAAATCAGCTGAAGCCACAACACATGAAACTGGAAGTAATAGCCATCTGCTGATGACTAGTTTCAAAGAGCTTTACTTCATGAAATAGCGTATTCAAGACTGACACTGAAATAAAACACCTCAGCTTATTCCCACCGCTTGTAGCCCAATTTTTTTTAATAGGTATTCCACTATTATGCTGTAAGAGAAAAACGAAATACCACCTCCCAAAGGTGAGTTAATAAGAGACTTCCAGCCACAGTATTAAAAGTGGCCAGCTGATTTCGTTTGACTAACATGTTTCTGACTTCCAGTATCTCACCAGCCAGCTGTTTCTCAGCATAGAACCTTGCTACACACATACATTACCTCAACAAAATCAGACATGCCATGAAGTTAGAAGTGACAAGATTGCAATACATAGCAGATACACCAATACTGCTTTAACATTGTCACTTGGTAAGTCTTTCAAGGCAACACTTATAAAGCAGCACTAATTTCTAAGTATTTTACGCTTTAATTATGCTAGCAGCAGCAGTTACCTGGAATACTGGTTGTTGTGGTAGCTGCAGTAATGGTAGCTGTAGATAGAGGAGCATGTGTAGTTGCATTGGTGATGTTAGCTGTTTGAGAGAAGACAGTATGTACAAACACAAGCTTCAAGAGCAAGTCTGCAAGCACTGAGGTTTTACATAAATGATTTGTCTTGTTTTGCCTAAACTAGCATAAGCTATGACCTTAGACTGTATTCCACACAATTCAGATGTTCAGCTGCATGGCATTAAGCCAAGTTTCTGCAATAAGGATTTTTTTCAAGCTTGGACACCATTGTTAGCCAAATATTTCAAGGTTCTCTACAGATCAATCAGACAAACCCACTTTTCTTCCAAGCACTAATATAAATGCTGGTATTTGAATGAGAATGAAGATAGCTGCTTCAAGACAACTGAGAATCTGCATCAAGGCAAAGGACTTTCATTAAACAGCCCTCAGAATCAGTTAGTATCTATTGTACTAAAAAACAGTACTTAATGTAGTATCTCTAGACAGGAGATAAACACAAGATAGAAAAGCTTCTTCTTTCTTCCCCCATCCCCATAACACTAACTGTGAATGACATCACTGGATCAAGCAAACACACCTGTAGCTAGACTGTCTCCAAAAAACTCTTCCATTATCAAATTTATCAAGCCAGAACACTGGGTCTCTGACCACCCCCCCACGCCCAACAAGTATTACTAAAAACTAATCAGTATTCCATTATGTGCCTGAAACAAGTGCCAACATTTGTGGGTTTACTCAAAGCTACACGTCACTCCACTGTAAGTTAGGCTGTTCTGAGCCTAAGTAAGTACCAACTTGTTACTTCCCAGCTCCCTTAAGCAGCAGATGCTTTTAAAGATTATTATTTTTGGTTTTTGTTTAAAAACTTCACTGTTAAAACAGCAGCATGTGTTAAGAACAGAAGTTGTTGAACTGGGCAACAACAACAAAAAAATCAACCTCATAAGAACTCATGATTAGTGGAAATGACTAATTCAAACAATTACCACTGAACCAATTCATAAAGACATTGGAAAGAAGCATTTTCTGTTAAGTTTTATGAAATCCACTTCCAAATCTTGGGACAATTTATGTATTCAAACATTTAAAAGTCATGCTACTACACTGATCTGCGGAAGAAGCCCTTCTCCTTTATTTTATTCACCAGTTTCTAGTTTACTGTCATGCTATGTTCCATGGTACTATATTACCTATAGTAGTATGAGCCGTGGTAGCAGAAGTAGCTGTGGTGGTATTGGAAGACGCTGTGGTAGTATTGGAAGATGCTGTGGTAGTATTGGAAGACGCTGTGGTAGTATTGGAAAAAGGAACGACTGTAGGAGCTATGAGAGAAAAAAAGAGTTATGTTAAAGAGATTAATCACAGTACTTAGTTAAAACAACACCCCAAACTCAACAGCAACAGGCCAAGTTTCAGGTAACTCATATAGCACCGAGTTCTATTGTAGTTTTGGACTGAAATCACAAAGCAGTTGAATGCTCAATCCACCACACTAACAGCAAATGTCGCACAAGTGAATACATGAAAAACCTTGTCACAGGCAGCCAAATGAAGCCAGCATTCAATTGGCAACTCAAGATTCCTCAAAGCAAACGAAAGGGAGAAGAGTCCTATTGTACAAGCATAAACTGTGCATGCTTTACACAGTAGGAAGCCAGGTATTCAGTACTGCTTCCCAATCTAACTGGAACTAAAACTGAACCTGACCTACCAACTAGAAACCAGAATGGTTAGACAGCTGAAGCAGTATGGGGGGAAAACCAAGACATCCTCAAGAATTTCAAAGTTTAGCTAAAGCTTTCTGCTCCGAGAGCTGTTGCTGGTTGTAGGTGCTCTCAGCTTCAGCATGTGCTGTAAAAAAAAAAAACCAGCAACTGTGAAACCTTCTGCAAGTTACTAAGTCACACGCGGACAGCTCATCTAAACTGTTGCTTAATCACACACTGATACATCAGCAAGCTTCCTGACGAAATACCGTTATGTTCAGAAGCCTTTAATGCTCAGGGTCCTTTAAATGTGGTTATTTACATCTTGAAAAAATTCAAGATGTTGGGAAACCAGAGCCAACTGTTCCTACAGAGACAGGCTGGATATATTAGAATCTACATTCTCTGAGGTCCCACTGGCATCAAGTCAGTTTAGGTCCACCTTAATGGTTATTCCACGTCAATCCCCGAATGCAGTGCTGAGCCGTGACACTGTAAGAGCTGATAAGGTATACAGGTTCCTCTCACACCAACAAAGACCCCCTACTAAAGGTGACGATTAAGTTTCCTTGAATATGCAGAAGCTAAAATACAGAACCTCATAACGCTGCTACAAGATTAATAGGAATTCTACTCTTAGATATGCAAGGCTGCATAGTAACAGCATGCGCTCTTTGGAAAGCATTGAAAAATGCTACTTTTAACACTCCTGATTAACAGGCAATTGTTACAATTTTAGAAACAACACAGAAGTCCAAGCCAAGTGGAATTATTTCTGACTGGCTGCCACCACCATAAGAAAGCCCATAGCAGCATGGAAGTTTCATCTCTGTTGCTGTGAGACAGCCTCTTTAGCAGCACTGTCAAACTCATCGAAACAAAAGTATTAAGAATTCTCATTTGCTCTTCTAGATCTTAAAACCAAAAAATCCTATTTTAAAGTTCATTTCTTGTTACCTTTCAGAAAAACTAAAACTGGGGGGCTTTCACAAAAGTGAAATTCAAGATCTAATCGAATTCATTCATATCCTGCAAATCTGCTTGGCAAAGCAAGCACAAATAAATGAAAACACTGAGGTAGACATGCAACCAAGCACGTCCCTGGCATGGAGGACTTACCTTACACAGTTCTATAACCCAGACCCTGCATCTCAGGACTGCATGAAGAGCTGTGCTAGTTAACAATTAAAACTGGAAGGTTCATAAGTATTTCCTATTTAGTCCATCTCAGGCAAAGCAATGGACTTGGCAGGTGAAACTTTCTTCTTGACTATAAGGTTACTGTCTTGAGGATGCTGATGAGTTCCTTAGCATATGCTACATCCTAGCATAGGAAACGTCACCCGTTTTAATCTAAGAAACCAAGGCAGTAGCCAGAGACATGTGTCTAGTAAAATACATCAGGCTTCCTCAAACAGCAACAGTGAGCAGTTGACTGAATGCACAACAAAACCGTGTTTTAATATCACATATGGCAGGTCTAATGAAGAAGCAAAGCACTTATTTGCATACTTGTACATGCTTTTGTTAATTGTAGAAGGCGTATTAACAAAGGTCAACAGATGAAGTAGTTGTAAGTGCAAATGCTCCCCATTAAACAATGTGAAAACTGAGTATCTAAATACTTACAAGAACACTGTTCTTCAATTGTACAGTTGATATATTTCACACTTATTTCTGTTTCACTTACACACAAGTCTTCTTCTGTCAGAAAAGAAGAGACACAAATATTTACAGCAGCACAACTTTAAAGTGTTTGAGACGTTGTTCCTAAACACTAGTAAACTGTTCATAGGACAGACTAAACACCTTCTTCTAGCCAGGATAACATTAAAGCCAGTTCAATATGCAAGACTTCAGTATTATATTAATTAATAGAAATTAAAAAAAATTTAGAATTTTCTTTCACTACAGTTACTCTACCATTCAAATCAACACTTACGCAATACTTATACATGGTTATGCATCACTCTGCAGTAACAGTATAGCTTGATAATTTCTCTTCATAGCCTATGAAATTAGACAAGTGTTTCTACTATCCGTGGCATTTTTCATGTTAAACATTCTGTTGTAGCATCATAAAAAAACTTTACTGTCTTAAAAAATTCTACATGCAAGCAAAACTTAGTTCCAGCTTTTCAAACAGATCCTTGACCTTGAAATTGTTGAAGACAGCAGTTTCTTATTCTCTGCCTGCACACCCTTCTCCCTTGACACAGATTTCAACCTCTCCCTCAAAGAAGTTACACAGGTCTCTTGGGTGGTTGCAGTATGTGGCTGTTGGTCAGGCAACACACGCAGAACTCAGAAAAAGAGCTTCTTGAAGAACACTCTTGTACTGGACAAGTTACATCCAAAATTCATTAGTTCTGAAGTATCTCAGCCTTCATATAACAACCTTTCTCGGTCATCTACAATCAAGGGCTACAAAATCACTATTACAGTCATAGAATGGTTTGGGTTGGAAGGGTCCTTAAAGACCATCTACTTCCAACACCCCCTGCCATGGGCAGGGACACCTTCCACTAGACCAGGTTGCTCAAAGCCCCGTCCAACCTGGCCTGGAACACTTCCAGGGATGGGGCATCCACAGCTCCTCTGGGCAACCTGTTCCAGTGTCTCACCACCCTCGTAGTAAAGAATTTCTTTCTTACATCTAATCTAAATCTACCCTCTTTCAGTTTAAAGCCATTACCCCTTGTCCTATCACAACAGGCCCTTGTAAAAAGTCCATCTCCAGCTTTCTGGTAGGTCCCCTTTTAAGTACTGGAAGGCCACAATAAGGTCTCCCTGGAGCCTTCTCTTCTCCAGGCTGAACAGTCCCAACTCTCTCAGCCTTTCCTCACAGGAGAGGTGTTCCAGCCCTCTGATCATTTTTGTGGCCCTCCTCTGGTCCCGCTCTAACAGATCCATGTCTTTCCTGTGCTGAGGGCTCCAGAGCTGGATGCAGCACTTCAGGTGGGGTCTCACCAGAGCAGAGTAGAGGGCCAGAATCACCTCCCCAGTCAAACCATCCTCTTTTCTTACTCTCTTTCCATCTCACATAAGAAGTGCAGATAATCCACTTGAGGACAACTTATGTAGTCTTTGTATGACTTTGTCAACAGCAACTTCATCTCCTCCGGGACTGAGTACCAGAGGTCACCTAAATGTAGTTACATCTAACTCTCCTACAATGGGAAAAACACAGCTCTGAACAAGACAAGCTAATGCTTCTTTGGCTCTGTTCCCTTCAGTGGGTTGCAATTCTTAGTTTTAGCAACACTACTCTTAACTAATCTTATTTAATGGACTCCTCACCTTTATTGCACTTTATTTCAGGAGTAGTGGTTGTGACAGGTCTATGACAAAACCTCATGAGGGACTGAAGCATGGCGATGTGCGGGCATGTCAGAATCCACTCATGACTCCATAACAGCAAATACAGGCAACTACTTTGTTCTAAAAACTTTCTGAACCATCTGGAAAACATTAGCTTATCAACAGCACAGATTTAAATCAAAAACCCTAAAAATCCGGGATTATTTTGAACATGTTCAGCTGTCTCCACGTACGAACTCGAGAAGTTTAACAACAGATACAACTTATGAGTTAATGTTCTGTTAGGTTATCAGACAAAACAGTATATTTGTGTAGTGAACATTATTATAGGTGAAGTAGGTCTAGTTGAGTTTAATGTTCTGCATGGCATAGTAAGGATCTGCACTGTGTAGTCCTTCTTACTTTCACATCTGATCCACTTGCAGCCTGCTGCATTTGTGTCATTACCAATACACGAACTGCAGTTAGAATGGTTTTCACAGACATCTAAAAGGAAAAAAAAAAAAAAGAAATGCATCGATTAGGACAAAATTAGCACTGTCAAAACAATAACTTCACCCACAGAAGCAACTCTTATATCTGTACATTCCTGTATGTACATCTCCTGGGTTAAGGCACAATCCTTCTCACTGGACTAACTACAATTGAAAGCTACAACTTGGGAATGCATTTGACAAGGCACAAATACCTTTCCCTTCAGACACTACTGATACTCCAAAACCAGACCCCACGTGTACATCAAGACTATGCCTCATGCAACCTCTAACTGTAGTAAACTCAGAGAATATACTACTCTAATGCCACCAAATCAATTTCGCAGAACTTCATTGAAACCTCAGATGGTAAGAGCTTTTTTCCTTTTGATTTTGTTTTTCCTTTAGGTAATACAGCCAGCTATAAACGACCCTACCATGGAAAGCAACCAAAGTGTGGGAAATACAAACAAGAACCTAGAGGACTTCATACACAAATGCATATAAAGGAGAGCAGAAAGCAAGCCAATCTGTTCTTATTTTGACCACAGCAGCAGCCAGAAACCTAACCGGTCCAGCTGCTTTTTTACGTCAGTCAAACATTGTTGCCTTAAAACCACAGTGACAACACATCCACTATCTGGATCAAGTAAGATCTTCTCCAAACCTACAGTTTTACTGCATTAGTTCTAATTAGGACTTACTCATACAGGCATCATACTCAGAAAACCCACATACAACCCACAGCTCCTTACGCTGCATATTCTCCAGCGCATTTCATATCACATCCACCTACTCCAGGCACCTTTGGGTGACCTTTCATTTTTCTCCACTCTGCTCCCCAGTGAAGGGAACACTGCTATTCACAGATCTTTGGCAACCAGTACGGTAATTTACATCTCAATATAACAGCTACACATTCATTAACTGACTTCAGTATTCTCATGATTTGAATTCAGCCTGAATCCACCTAGCCTTTCTCTTGGATATGGTAGGATCAGGCTAGAAATACTGGCGCTATTTCTTCATTTTCAGGAAATTTAAGAAGATACGAAAAGACCTTTGTCGGTTTGCATCAGCGAGGTATGCAGCAGACTTGCCCTGTTCCCTTCAGAAATAAGCGACTTAAACCATTTCGAGAGCTATATGACAGTTTCTGGATAACAGATTTCAGAAAAAAAAAAAAAAATTTATTCTTCTGGGTATACATCTGAAGAACGATCACGGCACACACGACACTCACTTCTGATGAACAGAAAATGTTCACTTTTGTAAATTCCTCACCAGTACACAGACAACTTAGCACAGTGCATCTGTGAAGACAGGAGGACAGCCAGCCAGTATCAGGTGCACTAGGACTTTTAGTTTACTTTCAGAACAGCTTTCCAAGACTAGCATGGGGGAGGAACAGATTTGCAAGAGTGAAGCATCAGGAGAGGTTTTTAATCACAGCAAAAGGCTTTAAGAACGAGCTGCTCACCTCAGCGGCAGGGCGTCAGATGCTCTCCCAACGCTACTCCTGCTACAAAAGACTCTCTTACGGTCTTTATATGGGATAACAGCA